GGTGATTCAGATGCACACAACTAAATAGTAGCATAATTGGTAAGGAGCTATGTAAAGTGTGGGTTGTATATTTTGGTTTAAATTGTTAATATATAATTGAGGTTTTGATATTTTCATATTTTTTGTCATACATTTCTAACTTTTCTGTCTTGCTTTTCATAAATTTAGCAGTTTTGCTGCTATATCCTATTTTACAGTTGATATTAATTAATATATATGGTATTAATGAAGAAAATGAAAACTGCTTATGATCCTACTTATTCTAGAGATAAGAACTTGCTTTAGAGATATTATATTCCTTTCCTTTTTATTTGTTTTTACAAAATTGGAATAAAGAAATATAGATTATATTGTTTTTTTCCCCACTTAAACATTATATCTTGGGCATTTTCCATATGTTTGAACTGTTCTTTGAAGATGTCTTAGGATTTTATATGATTCCATAATTCAGCTAGGTATTATTTAGCAATCATATTTGAAGATATTAGGTGATTGCCATTGTTTGGGTTTTAAGTAGCTATTAGAACATTTGTTATAAGGATCTTGACCTAACTTACCAGTTATTCTCACTGGATGATTTCTTAGCTGAAGGCTTCTGAAGATCTCAGTACATCATAACAGCATGTCCTTCAGTTGATACTGTTTTAAGATTTAGCATTTTAAGAATCAGATTTTTGAAAAAAAAAATCAGATTTTTAAAAAGTACTATTTTTTTATTTTGAGAAATGTTTATCCATTTCCTTTATAAGTTTTGCCTTCTCTGTGTGATTGTTTTGAATGAAAAATAGTTATTTTGTTTTAATAATTTTAAGTGTTGTTATGAACCCTCTTTAATAATTTTTAAGCTTTTTAAAATTATGTGTGCTTATATGTGTGCACATGAATGCAAGTGCTCATGCAAGCTGGAAGTTAGAGGTGTCAGATAGATTAACAGTTGTGAGCCGCCTGATATGAGTGCCAGGAACTGGTCTTGAATTCTCTGCCAAAGTAGTATACACTCTGGAACACTGATAGATCCTTCCTTCCCTCCAAGTTTGTAAGGAAAAAAATATTTGCAAGTTTTTTTAATTAATAAGTTTTATGAAATTACAAGACAAACAAAAAAACAACAACTAGTTTGAGGTTTAGTTCTAAGTTGGATGTAAGTCTTGGAGCTTCACAGAGCCACTGCATTGCAAAGTAGAATGAGACAAGGACCCTCTGTTTGGAGATGAGGCCACACTGTCCTGGGTGGGATGCTTATGAAGAGATGGTGGCAGCGCACTCTGCAGGTAAATATTGAGAAGCTGTGAGACAGAAGAGAGCACAAGGATGTTAGAATACTTCAGAAGCTAAGGAAAAATGTCTCACAGAGGTGGTAGGTTGAAGGAGAAAAATTTAGATAATGTGACTCTTCAGCCATCACATTAAAATATAAATTAAGATTATGAGTTAAAAGAATGGCATTTTCGGGCAAGTTGACAGAAAACTCTGGAATCAAACTCAACTAAAAATGCCCAGAGCATTTAAAGCTATAATAATCAAGACATTTAGTATTGGTGAAAAGATATTTGGTAGGTAGATTAGTGGAGTAGAATATAGAAGTTGGAAATAGGCCACATGTGTGTCAGCTCAACTTGTAGAGAGGTGCAAAGGCAATTTAGTAGAGCAAGGCTATTCTTTTCAACAAGTGAAGCTGGAACAACTGGATATCTAGTTGTAAACAATCCATTTATAGGGTCTGAGGCATGGCTCAGTGGGTAAAGGTGCTTGTTGCCGAGACTGACAACTGGAGTTGGATCCCGGAACCCGTGTGGTAGAAGGAGAGGACCAACTAATGCCAAGATGTACTCAAACCTCTACAAGCATGATGTGGATTGCCAATAAATATGAATGAAAATAATTCATGTTCTATCTCAGTATTTATAATGATTAGTTCAGCTGAATCCTAGACCTATAGTTCTAGACCAAGACGTATACGAAATCATTGTGAAACTCTGTTAGAGATAAATTTCAAAGATATTATCACTAAAAACATGGGCCGTAAAAGAAAAGAACAACAAATTGAGTTAAACAGTAATTAAAAACTCCTACTCTTTGAAGCATATCATTTAAGAAAATGAAGGCTGGGAAGATGAATCAGTGGATAAAATGCTTGCTGTGTAAGCATGTACCTGAGTTTAAATTACTAGCACTTGAGCAAAAAGCTGTAATTCCAGTGCTGGGCAAGGGCAGCGGCAGAGACAGGCCAGTTGTGGGGCTCACTGCCACGCTAGTCTGGTGGAAGCAGCAAGCTTAAGGTTCAGTAAGAGACCCAGTCCAAAAAGATAAAGTGGTGAGCAACTGAGTAATAGTCCAGTTTGACTTCTAGCTTACACATACATACACACAACAGAAAGAAAAGAAAGACAAAGAATGAAAGAAAGAAGAAAGAAAGAAAGAAAGAAAGAAAGAAAGAAAGAAAGAAAGAAAGAAAGAAAGAAAGAAAGAAAAGCAGCTACAGGGGTTTGTTCAGTTGTAGGGCTATATTCTAATAAAACCTGAGGCTCTTGCAGCTGGGGATGCAGCTCAGTGTTAGAGAGTTTGTTTACCTAGTATGCGTGAGGCCTGCGTTTTGATCTCCAGCATCACACAAAAACTTTTTTCTGGTTTTTAAAAAAATGGTTAAGTAGTATAATAAATTTTAGCAATCTGAGAGTTTCTTAGATAAGAGTTTAGTGGCTATAGGCAGGTATATCGAAGACATGTTCAGCTGGGCTAGGTGGCTGGGGCAGAGAAACAAACAGGAAGCATGATAATTATGTGTAAAAATTACAGCAGTGTGCATTAAGGGGTTACTTATCATAGAGGCAAGCAACTTTCATATCTTAGTAGCTTCTAAGAACTTAACCTTATTAAGAAACAGGCAACAAGGAGGTCACGAATAACATGGAAGGGGAAAGCTCACAGGACCCCAACTGCACATAAAAAGCTACAGGTAACAAAGAAGGCTGAGGCAGGTGAGATAGTCTACCCCAGGGAAGAGCACACCAATTGTTTATCCAGTACTAAATGGTCATCCCTGAAAACACACACTTACAAGTAAAATACAGACTGAGGAGGTTGTGTTTATATATTTAGGGACATGCACACATATACACACACATTTGTAATGACAATAAAAGGAAAAGAGGCCATGAATTTGAAAGAACAGTGGTGGGGTTACATGGGAGGGGTGAAGGAAAAAAAGGGAAGGAGAAATGATTTAATTTCATTATCTCAAAAATAAAAAAATTAAAAACATAGGCAAATGTGTTTTTATTTTCTGAGAATATATAGTTGTCATTGTAAGAGTGAATCAGTATATACATATGTAGTTTATGTTCAGCTTCAGTAGTAGGCAGTATGTAACATAGTTTCCAAATCAAATTTATTGAGTTAATTTTCCTACATTAAGCTGTTATGAGTTTAAGTACATAGTTCAAAAAGTTGATGGAGATCTATTTCCATATGATTGCGACTACTCTGGATTACCGCTTTCTGATCACACCAGAAGGTTCTTTTCCCATCATTGTAGTTATTCCGCAGCACATCCCCTCTTGTCTTCGGTTAGCTGCTTACCTAGTTTCAGACGTTAAAGATGAGTTTTTACCTCTTCTGGAACTATGTATGGAAGGAATCTGTGATACCATTTTGTCTCTAGCTTTTTGTGTTTTGGGTGACTCTTTTTCAATGCAATGATTTTGACTTCTCTGTGTTCCTACATTTTTAGGACCTTCCCTTTTTTTTTTTTTTGTTAAGTTGCATAATTCTGCTGCATAATTCTATTGCAGTTTGTTTATAGACTTGCCAATTTCATTATTTCTATTTGGTTCCACTTCTGTTATATTTAGTTTATGTCTATTTTGGGGCTATATTTATTAGTCATGTTTTAATTTCTTCTGTGCCTAAGTATCGTGGATAGAATTGCTAAGTGATGTAGAAAGTATATATTTAAATATCTAGAAACAATCCAAACTTGTTTTTTAAAATGGCCATACCATTTTATAATTTTTCATTGGTATTCACTTGTCTTTTTACACTTCTTTCTCACTAACCATTAATATTATCATTCATTTTAATTTCAACTGTTCTTATAGTTATATTTTAAAGTATTTATATTAGAAGGAAAATTTTATAGCTGGACAGTGGTGAATTATTTATTATCCACAATTATTTGATAATTTAGATATTCTCATTCTTCAGCTGCTACATGAGAGTTCCAATGTGTAAAGTTGTATCTTCCATCTGCTCCTTCAGCAAATAGTTCTACCTGCTTATTAGACCATTAGATAATCTGACACTTCATTTCATCTTAATATGATCCAGATTTTACCTACAAGATGTATACATTTGGAGGGTGGCATATATTGTTGAGGAGGAAGGATGATACTGAAAAATAGTCTACCAATAATGTTATTCATTGCTCATCAGTAAATGTGTGCTGGACACTGTGCTCGTGGCTTTAAACATAGTCGTATTTAATCCTTGTAAAGTGAGGTAAGTGGGTTAGCTAGGAAATTTTACAAGACCAGAAAATACTTAACAAAGGGGATTAAAATGGATAATTAGAGCAAAAGAAGTACACACTCTGAAAAGCAAGTCAGCTTTTTTTTTTTTTTTTTTTTCCTGGAGGAGTTAAAAATTCTAGAATCTTTTGATGTGGTTTTAATTATATTGGGCTCCTGAAAAAAAAAAAAAAAAACCAAACAAAACAAAACAAAAAAAAAAAAACCAAAACAAAACTATTTCAAAGAACTGACTGCCTCAAAGTTTCCAAAGGAAATAGTAATTTAACTTTTTGAACCTCTTTGTGATTTTTTTTGCCTTGTAATGGAAATTGAGTGTTTGTTACATTAATATAAAATTAAATCTTTTCAAGTATATGTCATTATAAAAATACATTTTTATGTTTAATGAGAAAAATCGTATGTAATTCAGCTTTAACATGGTATGCAGGGTGCAACTGATTTAATAAAGTACTTGAACCTTTTTATTCCTAGGATGGATATATTCAGAAGAAGAAGGAACTCTGGGGCCTCTGCATCTTCGTTGCAGCAGTCGACCTGGATGAGATGCCGTTCACTTTTACTGAGCTACAGAAAACCATAGAAACCAGGTAAATGTTCCGACACAAAAGTGCTGAAATAAAAAGGGCTTCTAAAGTTTAATACACTTTAAGAAGATGGTGGAAATGCTAAAATTAAGTTAAACATAATGTATTTGGGACAAATAGTGAATTGTCATTCTCTTTTGGGGTTGGTTAAAGCTTAGTTTTTTTTTTTTTTAAGGATTTATTATTTTTTATTTCATGTTTTGCCTGCATGAAGGGTTCACAAGAGACAATGCCTTTAATACCACAGTCACTAAATTCCACTTCCTTCTCTTAAACTATCCCTAGAAAAGGAGAACTTTGAATGATTTGGTTTCCATGGTATTCAGTTCCTCTCAGGACAGGTATTGGTGTGCTCTTTATTAACATAAAGACTACTCTAAGCTTATTTCTTTTTGTCTGGATTCTACACATTCACTCGATGCACGTCTTTTTTTCTTTTTCTGCACCCTCTCTTTCTTTTCTTCTAATCAAATGCAGCATAAGTAAATGTAAACCAAGGGCCCCACGAGAGAATGACTGTCCTTTATGTTTAATATAATTTCAGCATTTCTCACTAACTCCTAAAGGCTATTAAGTTCAAAGCAGTTTCTAGTCAGCATTTTGATGTATGCTGTCTTCTGCCATCCCTGCTTTCTTCCTTCCTTTCCTACATAGCCTTTCAAAACTGCTTTATCCCCTTGTGCCATGAAAACTTTTAATACCCTCTGTCAAATGTTATTTGCCTCCTGCTGATTAGCTCAGGCTTTTTTTTTTTTTTTTTTGGTTGGTTGCTTGGTTTGAGGTATGACCTTGTACTGTCCAGGTGGGTCTCAAACTCTTGGACTTAAGTGATCCTTAGCTTCCTGAAACTGGTACTGTAGACATGTACTGTCTTACCTGGCTTAGCTGAAGCTGTTTCTGGAGGTTGAACAGCCTATACCTATAATAGTTACAATGACTACTCTTTGTTCTACTTTGCTGCTTTCGTATAGTTTCATATACCAAGTTAATTAGAAATTAATATAATATATGAAGTCAGGTGTGATGGTGTAGGGCAGGCTGATCTCTAAGTTAAAGACAGGCTGGTCTACAAAGTTAGCTCCTCTTCAGCCAGGGGTATGTGTCAGGTGTAGGAGGAAGAAGAGATGATAATTGATACGTGAGATCTATGTAAGAACTTGTCATTGCTGCCCTATTGAAAAGATACATATTGAAGATTAATTTTTACAGAAAACAATGATGAATTACTAGAAGTTGTTTAACAATTTAAAGTTTTAGCCAGCTCTTTTTTTTTTTTCTTTCTCCAAATATTCAATCATGAAGATTTGGATGAGGTAGAGAAAATCATTGTATGCGACAAAGAAATGCCAAGTAGTGCAGAAAGGGTGTCAGGGTGAGGAGAGGTAGACATTCCTGTGGTGGGGCATCTATCTATGTGGACAATGCAGCCTGACACGGGCTGTCTGGGATGCAGTGTCAGCAGCCAAGCAGGGTACTGTGGCAATTAACTTAGAGAGGTATAGCACAAGATCCATGAGGAGGGCAGCCTGATACGGGAAGGGGTGGGAGCAGTGCACAGTGTTAAGATAGCCTGTTCTTGTTGGGGAGGGGAAGGCTTTCAGGCGTGAAAGATGGCTATTTGTTCAAAGAGTAAATAAATAAGAACAGAGTTTCAAATATGAAACAGAAACACTAGAATGAACTGTAGAGTTCTGAAAAACAGACAGATACAGATGACTGTTCAGTATTTGGGTGCAGTGTGTTTCAGAAATCCGAAAGAATGTATTTTAAATGTTTCTGCCTTATGGAAAAAAAAATAAGTGTTTGAGGAGATAGATATCTTTATCTTTGTAATGCGGTGTTTACGTGTATGAAGACATCATGTGATACTCCTCTAAAATGTACAATTCTTGGACTTTTATGCATCAACATTAATATTGTTAATAATATCATTAACAATAATATTAATATTATTAATAAGAATATTAACAATAATATTAATTAAAAAACCCTTATACCCCTGGTGGGGCTACTCCGCCAGGCCACAGGGGAAGAAGATATGCTCAGTCCTGATGTGACTTAATATACTGGGGTGGGGTGGCGACTCCTTCTCTGAGAAGTAGGGGATGGGTGATAGGGGAAACAGAGAGGGGGTGGGGCTACAATTGGGATGTAAAATAAATAAGCAAAAATTAAGATCATAAAAAACCCATACACACATACTTAGAAACAAGTATATATATTTTTTGTGCCCTGTTTTTTTTTGTTTTCTTAACTTTAAATAGATATAATCAGGGGTAGGTGGATATTGGGGCATGGTTTGTTTCTAGTAAAATGCAAAAAAAAAAAAAAAACCAACAACAACAAAAAACAAGTACAATCCTTCCAAAGGACACAGTGTGATCTAGTGTAGAACTTACTGTCTTCTGAGTTGAAATATATATGCTTTGAAAATGAAATAAAACAAATTTTTATATGTACTCATGTACTTTCTATTTTTGTAGTGTCTATAAATTCTTTGACTTACTAAAAGAAATTGATACCAGTACCAAAGTTGATAATGCCGTGTCAAGATTATTGAAGAAGTATAATGTGTTATGTGCGCTCTACAGCAAATTAGAACGGTAAGATAAAAGTTTTATTAGGTTTACCTTCATTCTTTCTTTATTATTTTTATACCCCAATACACACCACTGTTTAGTTAGATTCAGTCTGGGAACTATAACATGTTTAATGAAAGAATTAAGTATTATCCCTTAGCCTTATTCATTTTGCTATTATTTCTTTATTAACTTTTAGATAATTATTAATTCTCAGGTAATTTATCTATTTATAAACATTCTGAACGTTTGACCCAAATTAACTGGACTTTTTTTTTTTTTTACTGCCCTTTTACATCATTTGCTTCTTCAGACTTTGAGCTTGCTTCCCATCTTGTCTAGTAGAACTTGTAGTTCTGAATAATGATCTATATTTAACTTCTTCCACTTTAGAAAGAAACCATATTGTCAGTAGAAGGTGTGACCTTGAAGTCATGATCTGTGTACCCAGTGGTAGTTGAGAAGACTCCACCTGTACTCTTCAACTGGAAAACCATGGCTAAGCTTGGCTTACATTTTTATTTATTATTTCGGAATTTCTTTTTTCTTTTTCCTTTCTTCCTTCCTTCCTTCCTTCCTTCCTTCCTTCCTTCCTTCCTTCCTTCCTTCCTTCCTTTCT